ATTCGGCGAGCGGGCCGCTTGCTTGGACGCTGCTCTCTGATGTGACATAATTCAGAGCTTTTTGGAATGTAGAGAGCAGCCGGCGACAGCCAAAATAAATGAAAAATAAAACAACTCAAAATTACGATGCTCTGGTTGACAAATTTTTGAACCATACATAAATAACGAAATAAAAATGTCAGCCCGTGCTAGAGACTCTATCATACCCTAAACACACCAGCACCGAGCTGCTGATGCCGCTGCTTTCTTCTAAGCATACATTAAGAGGTATTTGAACTTTCGGCCAGAGCTTGACATTCAAACAGGCTAGGATCGTAGCAGTTAATCTAATAGTTAATCTAATATTAAAGTCGATCACTTGATAAATTGTCGATTTAGTTAGATATGCGCTCGTATATCGATTTATGTCTCAAGAAACTCTGTAGCCCATTTCAAGTGAATTGAGGGTATTTTAACGAGTGCACTTATATAATATTAAAATCTCTCCATGATTGGTTGTTAACGCGGAAAATGATCCTGGCTAGCTCAGGTCCGCTGTTCCATATGGCAAATGGACTAACTATAAAACATTGTCATGAATAATAACAATAGAAACCGTTAATAGACTTGTCAGAACTGCGCGCTCTACAGTTGTTATTGCTGTTGTTGTTGTTGTTGTTGGTTTCGCTTTTGTTATCATATATGCAAAAACGTGCCGGAAATTGCGTGACAGCGAAAAATTCTCATAACATTTATATAACATTTGTAGTACCCGTTTTAGTTGAATGGCTCATGTTTGAGATGTTAATGCTCTGACAAAGTGTATATTGGCTAGCACATGCAGTTTGTAACAGGCAAAGTCCTTGGCTTGTTATGGGAGTCTCTAGTTGTATTCACTAATGCACGAGTCTAGCTCATGGTATATGTACATATATACAGTTGGAATATACCTAATTTCCGGTAAGGGTATCCACACTTCGAGGTGTTTGTAGTCTCATTATTTTCTGGCTCGTATTTGTGTGTTGTTATTGTTTTTCCTTTTTTATTTTTTCTGCTTTCATTGCGGCGCACTCGTTTAGATTGAGCTCAAGCTTCCTTCCCTGGCCATTTGATGCTTCCGTTTTTTGTTGTGCTGTTGTTGTCGTTGTTGTTGTTTCACATGAATTTTCGCGCTCTTTGTGAAGATCATTTATAATGCGTGATATTGTGAATATCGTTGTCCAGTGCGAGCTGTTCTCTCCCTCTCTGAGCAGAGGCCAATCAATTTTAATTATCGAGCAAATTAATCAGTCGCAACTTTCGTATCATTAAGATTAATGATGCTGCCCGATCTGGGTGGCAACGGTACCCACAACAGCAACAACAACGATAACAACATGAACCACAACAAGCCAGCTCTCAAGATCTTGCTTATGCAAATAGCACATAGCAGATAGAACATACACGGGATTCCGAGCATGATCACGAGCGCGATCTCCAACCTAAGCGTATCTCTCGCGTATAGCGACCCAAATGAGCCGTGGTAAATGTGATTAGAGCGCGCTTTAATTGCTCGCTTTTGTCTAATTATACGCCTGATATTGGGCAACAGAACAGTTCGTACATTTCCAATCCCAATTTCGAGCAATAAATAATTGTCGCGTTTCTCAAAGTGCACTGACCTGCCAAAATTGTTGATACATACATACATACATATATATACATATTTATATATGTGTATGTATGTATGTTATGTTGTGCTATGGTGCACGAGTATTCAAGTCTGGGTTGCTTGGACTCATGTGTCCCGTTGGTGTGGTATAAAGAGGAATAAGCGCAAAACGAGACAAAGACCAAATAATGAAATACCCCAAAGTTTATAACGCCGACTGCAGTTGTCTCTTTGAGAGGTCACTGACGTGCATCAATTGGGTTTGACGAATCTGAGCGATGGACAGACCGTCAGAGAGACATACAAACAGACAGACAGGGAATTGCACAAGCTGTCTCGTAGCGCTCAAATGAATTATTTATATGTGTACGCAGCACCCAGAGCAAGTCACAGTTTCTGAATGAACAAGGAACAACACTTATTATCCAAGTGACGAATAGGGAATACCCTTGAATTTCCGATGCGAATAAAGGGCTGTCAGCTGATAGATGTAATCTCTATGCCCATTAGATTATGTGGCGCATTTTATTCTCAGTTATGGATCGCTGATATATCAATCAATCAGGGATACATAATATAATGGATTTCGCTTTTAAAACTTTCATTTGAACTGATTTCAAAATATAAGCAACAAGAATTTCATCTGCTTCACTTTCAGCCTCCTTCAGTACGTTGCATGTTTCATAGCCAATCCTGGGTAATCGTTGTAAGGGTATATCTATGTATATAATAAAGGCATCGACTTACACTTCAACTTCAACTTAAACTTGCACTTCAAGTCATGGACAGCCCCTGCTGCCCGCGCCCCAGCTTGATAGGGGCCTGGCTAATGACGGCGACAGACAGACTGAAATATGAGCACAAGTTCGAGTGCAACACACACTCACACACACACACACACACTCACAATCAGAATCGAGCGCAGCGAGCATATGGCTCATGCAAATTTTTAGCGATTAAAAAGCAATAACTTATATTATCAACGCAAAGCTCTGAGGTTAATTGACAGACGGCGAGAATCACCCGGGCCAGAGCCAAAGTGTTGTCGGTGGGTCTTGCAAATGAATGTTGTACATAAAAAAAATACATATATACAAATATATGTATACATATTTAACATATATTCATATATGTATGTATAAAAGAAAATTATTTAAATAAACCATGTGAAGGTCTTGAAAAAAAAAATATATATATAATAAAATAAAAGCTCTTCCGCATGCGAATATCAGCATAAAGCTGTTCACATTCAATGCACTTTTCTGCTCAGACTTTGAGACAGATCGAATGGGAAGGAGATGCAGCAGCAGCAAGCAGGTTAGCTTTATAATAAGCTGACCTCAGTGAAGTTCAAATTTCATTTTGTTTTTGTGATGTATTACGGCATTTGCAGAGCAGTCGCTTCGCCGGAAACGAATTCAATACAAACTTTTTACTTAAGAATTAGAATATATGAATATATGAATATATATTTCTTAGGAAATGACCGATGGGAACGGTCTGCTGCGGACCTCTTTGAGGGTTCCCACAGTGATGCATATGGCTTTTGAGCGTGAAATCAATGTTTCGACATCATATTCGGATAGCCAGAAATTGCTTTTAATGCTAAAACTGCCTTTAATGCGATGATTGATGTGGCGCCCCTTGAAACCGCAACTAAGTGCAATGTCAAGGAATCGGAATCGGAATGGGAATGGGAATGGGAATGTATATGGAAATGGGTTGGGTAATGGGGCGTCTCTTAATGCCAAGTGACAGCAACAGCCGCCACAATGTTTATAAAGTCGATTCTTTCTCTGCCACGATTGTCTCTCTGCCAAGTGTGGCGCTCAGACAGCTGCTGCAGCCTCCCGATTATCGTTGAGATCTTAAATAATCGAACCGTCGGGCCGGGCAACTGATACCATCGGCACTCAATTAATTGACCGGCTCATTAGGTCACTGGCATAGGAAAATTTTCCAGATAGCTGACACAAACCATGCGCCCCATCAAATTCAAATAAAATAGCAAACCGTTCCCACACACCGGTTCGATTTGTTTATTTTCAAAGAATGAAAGAGAAGAAATACAAAAGAACAAGTAAAACGAAAATCGAATCTTATGCAGCATTGGCATTTTACCTCTCGCGATTCTATGTTTATTTTGTTCCACTGTACTTTGGCCGACTTCTTTCCTACTGTGAGCACATAAAATTAATAATCTTCACCTGTTAATGTCTGCAGTACGGGCATTACTTTGCTTATACAGCTGAAACTCTTAATTAGCCGAATTTCCATATTTCACCTTTGCCGTGTCTCAGATTCCATATATATGTATGTACCTATATATATTTATATATGTTTATGTACATATATAGAAATATACACATATAATGTTTATTTTCTATGCGTGAGGTTTAAATCAAAATGATGTTCAGGTATTTTTATTTAATAGCTAGAAAAGTATCACTCGTACATTAGGTGGGTGGACGAATGGGAATTTATAAATATGATGCGCCTGAGTAACACTATATTCATATTTATTTATATTTTGGCTAGAGAATGTTGTAGCTGACCATAAACAAAAAAATCTAAATGGATGTCATCATGAACACCCACTGGCTTGTAATCGGGCAGGCACTGAGCATTACGTCGCCCATGGTTGGGTGTGCAATCAATCAAAATGCGAATTCAATTGAATAAAATTATTGAGACGCCTGTCAGCTGGCAATTTGATGGCCAAGCGCATTGTCATCAGCCCAAAGACAAGCAAAGCTGCAACAAATTGAAATGTTGCAATGGGCAGTCGCCGACTGTCCAATGCACGTTCATAATTATTAATTTTTGTACATTTGTGCAGAGAAGCTCAAATTGTGACGATTTCATTTGAATAATATATTTATCTACAAAGATCTTTGAACCTATTAATGCACATACATATGTATATATATTCTTACTGTCGACGCTAGCTAGAAATGCCTTCCATGTTGCTCGGCTGCCAATGACAGACAATAGCTAAATTAAGATGTCAGAGGCATTTCTGCCATAAGTCATACGCATTATCAGAAACAATTAAAAATGAATGCACTGGCAATGACACATACAACCAACAACAGCAATAGGCAGAAGACGTAACCGCAACAACAACACCAATAACACCAACAGCAACAGTAAACAACAATAGAAGGAGAAAAGCAAATAAAACGTGTCAATGAATGTTTTCTTGGTGCTGGTATTTTAAATTTATGCGCATTAACATACACACACACACACACACACGCACATAAACGTATACACTTCCTTACAAAACATAACAAACAGAACCTAAAGCGTTTAACGGTAAACGATAAACGGTAAACGAAGCGAATTTCATTGTTAAATGCATATTTACTTATCTGTTCTGCTTTGGTCAAGGCTCCTTCCATCTTTTCAGTTTACGCTTTCTGTTGTTTTTGTTTTTGTTTGTTCTGGTAAAGCGGCACATGGTTGCCAGATCAGTCTGCCGGCCGGCGAGATTGAGCTGGGAACACAATGAATTGATGTTATCGAATCACTGAAAAGTGGCATACTCATTGCAAATTTCTTATCGGTATAAATATCGCATTGTAATGAGGTTATCGGTGCTAGCCTTTCACTTGGAACTGAAGTGTTGTGTATCGTATTGCAACGATGTTATCGGTAAAAGCCTTTCACATGTAATGCTCAAGAAATGTACATATACTGTGAAAAGATGTTATCGAAATACAAATGCAGTTATGAAACACAATTGCGCTGCATACACAATAGGCGCTAAGGAACTCATGAGCAGATGTGTGCGAGAATTTGCATTTATGGACATGCACGGATTGAGATTTCCGCTTGCGGGGCTTCTTTGTGCGTTGCAAACGACGCGTCGTGGGCTTTATCGTTGACATTTCCTCTTGCTGCATAACACATTATTCAGCTGAATTTATTTATAAACGCCGAAACACGCGACAGGTGCCTCAGTGGCATT